CTGAAGGGCACAGGAGAGAGGAAAATCCCCCTGGAAAAGTACTCCTTGGAAGACTAGGTTCCTCCTGGAGCCAGTCAATTACCTTGTGAGCAGATCAGGGTACTGAGTTTCCTCAAAAACACTTTCCAGTTCATCCAACTGCCAGGGTGTGAACTGAAACGGGATTCGTGGCCGCCTGCTGCGACGGGACGGAGGAGCCACTGACTCCTCAAGGTCCTGCTGGGGATCCTGGTCATCGTCATCATCTTCATCATCTTCATGGTCACTGTTGTTTTCCTGGTTCACCTCTCCTTCCTGGTTCACTTCACCCTCTTGGTTCACATCCAGTTGATTCAGGTGGCCCTCAGGCTTCACGTCGTCCATGAGGCCTACAGCTCCTTCACTGAAGTGGCCACCTTCTGCTGCCGCTGCTGCACTTTGCTCAGATTCAGGGTTTATTTCCCTCTCATATTCTTCCAGAACATAGTAGTCAGTATCATAGTAGTGATACCAGCTAGCCATGGCTGGAAAGCACCAGAGGCTCTGTGGCCTCTACAAATGTGATGAGGTGTGGCAACAAATTTGAGGCCACAGGGCAGAGCTAGCCCAGCTTATGAGCTTCTTTCGGGTTACAGGGGTTCTGAGGCGTTCCTATGTTTAACGGTTGATGCGCACACGCAACCCTTTTCCAGGATTACTATTGGCTCTCTGCTGAGATATGTAAATGATGGGGCGGAGCCAAAAAATATTGTGTGGTGAGGAAATGGGCCAACAGGGGATGTGCAAGGAATGGGGGACAAGTTTGCCACTTAGCTGAATAAGCCACCTGGATCTGAGTTGTAACCCTGCAGAAAGGACTACTCTGGATTCTAAGATGACTCAGACCTAGAGGGGAGAAGGGGAGATTTCACACTGACCACAGGACCCTTTGTGTGAACATCTAGAGAATTTTAGCCTTGCTCTTCATAATTCACAACCTGCCTAAGGCTAGGAATTAAACCAACCTGACCCACTAGGAGGTTGCATACAGAGTTCTTACAAGGACACTGAAAGCAAAGCCAAGCTCCTATAAGCACCCCTGTGGGATCATGTGGCAAGACACACCCTTAAAAGAAAAACCTCTTGAGTCCTTTAGGAAGTACAAATACACCACATTCTTGATGCTCAGTTTATATTGGAGACCAAGTGTAACTTGCTCAGGGCTGATCACATCCAAGGATGCTTACAGTGCTTGGGATCTTTCCCTCTGTTGTAGTGAAGGTAAAAGAGTCTGTTAAAGAAATAAATATGAGGAGGATATTGCCCACCTACAATCAATGCAGACAAAAGGTTTGTAGTGAGTTTGCAGGGTGTGGGGAGATGTCAATATAGAAAACTCCTAGGCTTGAGAAGCTTATTTGGAACACAAAGTGATAGAAACATGGAACTGCAGGTCAATCCCCATGATTCATAAAAATATTCCTGTGTTAATACCTCATCCTGCATATGTGAACTCCAAACCACAGAAAAAATGGACTTTTTCAAGACAGCTGTTTGCTGACTAGCTGATGCTTTCTGACCTTTAAAAAGATTTATCTTGAGGCTGGGACTGTAGTTTAGTGGTAGAGCACTTGCCTTGCATATGTGAGGTACTGGGTTTAATCCTCAGCACCACATAAAAATAAATAAATAAAGATATTGTACCAACTACAACTAAAAAAATTTTTTAAAAAAGATTTATCTTTAGTTAAGTATGATGATGGAGGCATTTTAAAAATTAGAGAAACTTTGGATGAGAATAAATGCTATTGAAACATGCTAGTCTTGAGTTTGAATATCTTTGGCTAGGGAAGAGAGTCCTGCACTTATGGAAAATAGTGCTACTAGGACAAGCAAGCAGGATTCAAGGACAGGAATGGCCCTACTGAAAAAAAATTCTGGGGGCTGGTACAAGTAGAGTCCCAGTAAGCACATATCTGCCACAAATCACCAATGAGGACCTGGCATATCTATTGATATGAATCTTACCAGACTTGGGGTACCTTCTGCACCATAGGGCTTCATAACTGTCTAACATCTCTACTGCAACAAATCTAATAACCAAGAGAGTCTGTCATGAGAAAGGATATGGAGGATGTTTCTGAAGGTAGACAATGAATATGTTCCTTATTTTGTCCAAGTGGTGTCACACTCACGTTCTAAAAATTCTGTCTGTAAAAACTGGTTACTTGATTTTTAAAAACTTTTTGTCAGCATATAGAAAAAGGCAAAATTTTGAGTCTGTAGACAAACAATAGAGGTAGTTCTGGTCTTCAGGGTGATTCTGAGCATGGGCAGGCCTCTGCACATTGCAGCATACAGGATATCAGGACATCAGGGTTCAGCCACTTGTCCAAATAATTGAATGCCACCAAATGGGACAAATGAGACCCTTGGGTTCTATCCCTAGGCAAGGAAGAGAGAAGAAGAAGAAAAAAAAAAAGAACACTGATAAGAGAAAAAAGCATAGGAAGAGGTGCGTGTTGTGAGGAGCTAGAAAGGATCACCAGTTGTGGGAGTGGCAGGGAGGAGCACAGGTCTAAAGCCTGTATCCCCGCATGTCCTGGACATGGGATGAATTGGTCTGACCCTCAACTTTCTCATCTAAAGAACAGGTATATCTACAGTGTCCACCTCACAAGTATTTATGAGGGTCAAGGAGATATGATTGTACACTGTCATCTCCTTCAACTCCACATATCCAACCTGTCAGCAAACCCTGCTGACTCCACCTCAGAACAACATCCCACACCTCTCCCGTTTCCTGCAACACACTTCAGAACTCACCACCACCACCTTAAGCCTGGAATAGTGCATCAGCCTCCCGTCCCCATGCTTCCCCCTTTTCATCCTGGCACCATTCTCCACTAGCAGCCAGTGACCCAACAGTAAAAACATGAATGAGCCTTTGCCATGCTCCTGCTTCAACTTTTTGTTTTCAATTTTTTTTATAGTTGTAGATGGACAGCATGCCTTTATTTATTTATTTATTTATTTATTTTTATGTGCTGTGCAGGATCAAACCCAGTGACTCACACATGCTAGGCAAGTGCTCTGACACTGAGCTACAGCCCCAGCCCCTGCTTCAACTTTTATAATGCTGCTGCTTGGGTTGGGCCAGAGAAGGCACCACATTCTTGGTAACTGGTATAATTTTCTGTGTTCTAGGAATATAATGCATTAGGTCAAGAGAGAAAGTCCATCTGCTGAGGGGACACACACTCTCCTGGCACACTTGCTGCACAGGGCCAGCACACACAGCAGCCAACAGAGGCTTCCTGATCAAAACACAGACAGGTCTATGCAGTGTTTCCACAAGAAATATCTTGCTGGACCCAGTGACGAATGCCTGTGATCCTAGCCGGTCTGAAGGCTAAGGCAGAAGGGTCACAAGTTCAAAGCCAGTCTCAGCAACTTAGCAAGGCCCTCTCTCTAAATAAACAATAAAAAAGGACTAGGGATGTTGCAGAGTAGATAAGCACACCAGGGTTCAATCCTTGGTACCAAAAAAAAAAAAAAGTAAGAAAGAAAATAAAATCTTTTCTTTAGCACACACTGCCAGAAGATCACAATCTCTCTCTCCTCTCTTGAGCACTTATAAGTTAAAAATAAATAGATAAAACTAAGGAAAATGCAAATGACTGAAGTAGGAAATGCAAGGCTGCATGACATGGTTATTTGTAATCATCACCTCAATTGATACTCACAGCACATCCATGAATGAGGAATGAATGTTTTCTCCATTTTAAAGATTATTAAATTCAGAGCCAGGCACAGTGGTACACCCTTGTAATTCCAGATACTTGGGAGGCTAAAGCAGGATGATCAAGTTGGAGGCTACCCTCAGCAATTTAGCAAGACCCTAACTCAAAATTTAAAAAAATACAAAGGGGGCTGGAGTTGTACCTCAGTGGTAGAGTGTTTGTGTAGCACATGCAAGGCACTGGGCCCAATCCTCAGCACCACATAAAAATAAATGAATAAAATAAAGGTATCATTTGCATCTTCAAAAAATATTACAAAAATACAAAGGGTTAAGCATGTAGCTCAGTGATAGAGCACCCTTGAGTACAATGCCCAGTACCTCCCCCCAAAAAAGATCAAACTCAGGCAACATTAGAATAGGACACTCACCAGATTAGCCAGGCAGCAAGTACTGAGGGAAGCAGGATTGATATATCACCAGACTGGATACAGGGCATACAGGGCCTGCTCATTTACCTCTATGTCAGAATGTGATTTGCAGCAAATTTTGCCTAGGATGGACATCCATTGGGTAATTAACACACCGAAAGGGTGATTCACATTTCAAATGTACATTATGATTCAATTTAAACATTCTGGTGAATTCTAGCATGCCTGGTTGACACAAAGGTAACACACAGCTAAGGCACCTGAGGGTGACTGAAGGTTAGATAACTCCAGAGTGCACCATGCAGGTCTGAGATGTGAGGGAACACTGAGCTGTCACACATGTCCCAGCCAGTCTACCATTATTACAACCCCTGGAGGTCTTTCATGTCACAACTGATCCAAAGCTGCAAATGGATCATGGACTGAGCAGCTAAGACAGTGGGAGGAGGCAGAATCCAGCAAGAACCAGACTCAGGAGGAGGCACCTGCATGACAGTCAGAGAGAGGCTGTGGGACTGCCAGCCCTTGACCTCTTTTGGGGTGTGAACTGGTCAGTCACCAGTTTTTGTAAGCAGATTTCTTAGCCAGACTGCAGAAACATGAGGCAGGGACCACTTATGCATGAGGAAGAGGAGGTGAGGTCCCTAAGCCCCATGATACTTTAGGGCTCCTCAAAATGGTTTTATTTTATTTCCTGAAATGGTGCTGAAGATAAAGGTGGTTACGAAGGGGAAGACAGGAGAAATCAATATCAAAGTATGATATCGAGCATAGAGCCCATTATTAGAAGTCATTTTCAATATTCGGGACACATACACCTCCCAGAACATCCACAAATCATGGTTTAAAAGAAGAGCCACACGCCCTCCATCTGTCCTGGTGCTCTGTTATTTGGCAATCAAATTGGATTATTTCTCAACAAGAAATCAGGTCAATATTTCTAGAGAAAGAAAGGGCAGGTGGGAGGAGAAAGAGGCAGGGGAAGGGTGGAATCTCACCCTGGTCCACAGCAGAAGCCCAGCACAGGGAACACCTGAGGTAATGTAGAGGACCAGCAACCAGAAGTGCGTGGGTGAAGTACAGCACAGAACGCATGTGCCACTGTTGCACCCAGAGTGTGGGCAGCGTGAGCATTCTCCACGCACTAAGCACTGGGCAGGGGTCTACACTTGCACCATGAGGTGTTGAATTCCTTGCTACAAACCTGGAGTACTTGGTTTGTACTCCTCAAGAGGTTCTTTGACTTTCTTTCACAGGACATCTGAGATCCCTATAACTAACTGCTGGGCAAACCCAGCCCTAAGATTCCACTCCCAGAGCTCCCGACTGTGTGGAAGGCTCTGATTTGAGCATCACCGCAAATACTCAAAGCAAGCTGCCAGCTTTCAAATCACCTCCACTTAAATACTGACTCTTGCTGGATTATTGGCTGTAGGATATGAAGGGCTGTGGATAATGCACAGTGGAAAAGTTTCACTAAGCGGTGGTGTGAAGTCTTCCTATCCCCATTCCCTCAGAGGGAGGGAGGGAGGGAGGAAGGAAGCAAAGCCCCTTTCTCAGCTTGGGTATCCCCACAAGTTGCTCTGCAACACAGAGTTCCCATTCTGAGGGCACACACAGCCCCCAACCCACTCGCACTCCGTTTTCTCATGTTTTGTGCTTATTTTATGGCCATGTCTTTACATCTTTACACGAGCAGTTCTAAGGACCAGCAACGTAAAAACAGCCAGTAGCTGGTGAGTAAGAATTAGTACCTTGGCTTCCAACCTTAGGTAGGCATCCTCGTCACCGGGAACAGTCACAAGATGACCAAATCCAAATACTGAGTACTCTTCCAGACTCTCCTGTCTGTGGAGGATCTCTGCGGATCACAGCCCAGAGTCTGGGAAGGCACACAGCTTGACCACAGCACCCAGGGCATGGAGTCTTAGCCCAGCTGAAGCCACTAATG